TGATATTTTACCTAAATTTTGGTGTTTCAGACTCTTGACTGTGGTGAATAGAGATGTTTTATTTTGTAGAAAAAAGAGGAAGTTTTGTTGCCCATGAACGTAGATGTCCGGGATGAAGGTAGTACGCATGTCCAAGGTACTTTTCATGATCCGATTACTTCAGGTGCAATTGTGGATAAACCAGGGACCAAAGAAATGGAGGGGACTATCATGGATACTCAGGGTGGTGAGAGCCTAACTACCCAATCTGTACCCACCGTCGTTGAAATTCAAGTTGCCGAAAAAAATGAAAATGTAGCTCACGAAGCGCTCGAAAATGCGCACGAAACGAGTTCAATTGAACACGGAGGCAGTTCACTTGAACACGAAGTGAGCAAATTAGAACCCGTTGCTGGTAATGTTGGTCACGAAATGGAAATAGGTGAACACGAAGTGAAGAATTCTCAGAACGAAGCAAGCTCAATTGAACACGAAGCAAGCAAAGTAGACCACGCTGTTGGCAATGTTGATCACGAAATGGAAGTAGGTGGACACGAAGTGAAGACTTCTGAACACGTTTTAAGCTCAGCTGAAAACGATGTTCAACAAACTAAACACGAAGTGGTAAATGACACGCATACTAGTACGCCACACGAAACAGAGCAAACCTAGAACGAATTACCAAACGTTGAAAACGCAAATACACAACACGACACGAGTAAAATTTCGCACGAAAGTGCACCTAGTGGAACTACTGAAAGTGGGATAGACAGTTCCAGCTATCCACTAATTTTAAAACTAGGCAAGGAGATGCAAATAAATCACTACAGCTAGAAAGAGCATACTAAAATGAATAAAGTTGCAAAGTTTGGTTGCGAAATGTTGTAAAATGCGGAAAATATAGCCTTGCAAAATACGCAAATTTTGTATACTTTTGTATTGCGTGCGGAAATTGCTATACAAAATTTGCAAACTTTGCAAGGCTATATTTTCCGCATTTTACAACATTTCGCAACCAAACTTTGCAAATTTACTAATTTTAGTATGCTCTTACTAGCTGTGGTGATTTATTTGCACCTCCATGCCTAGTTTTAAAATTAGTCTATAATGGAAATTGTCTATTAACATATGATGATGTTATTTAAAAGGGGCAGTTTCGTGCGAATCTGCGTAGTAATAAAATATTTTTCTTTTAAAACATAGTCAATCGAGATCAGTGAGCTCTCTCTCTCTCTATATATATATCTGGAGCGATAACTTCAGTGATTCGGCCTATGAGAAAAATGAAGCCAAAATGGCGGCCATTGACGTCCAATATCTATGAAGGTCGTAACTTCCGAAATTAGAGAGAGCAACTCTAATGAGTCAGCCGGAACTCTAATGAGTCAGAATAGAAAGAATTCTTAATGCCATATTGCCTTCGTTATGTTGTTTTTTTTCTCATTTTTTGTGCTGCAAAGACATTGCAGGTGAATATTAGAGGGGATTATTAAACGGAAATTGATTAGAGGGGAGTATTGAATATATTCCCCGCTAAGAACAAAGGAAACCGAGCAGGGTTAAAAATAAGTTACCATATACTATATCTTTGTAATCTTATTATTGTACACGCACCTTGTGGAAATCAGCCTAGGTTGACAATGGTTAGCGTGTTTAAATAAAAGTTTCTATCCATCTACCTATATATCTATCTAACCCAGTTTTTCTAACAGACCGTATCAAGTTACCAGTTCATAAAACTACAGTATTATTCTTGAAATCGACGTGAAAACACGAAATTTGGGTTCACCGCGCAGACAAAACATAGAAAGAGACTGGACGTCAATTTCCGCCATCTTTGGCTCGAGGTCACTCTCCAGACATAGGGCGCTTTTAACACGGCCAGAACGGTCAAATTGTTGAATGAAACACAAAACATTTGGGCTTCGGACCTCTTGATAACATTAGAATGAGGTCCATTTTCGCTAGATATTTGAGAAACATAGACCAGATCGTTCCATTGATACAGAGAAAAAAATTTGGGTATGACCGGTCAGGCCATTAAATGGAAAGCGCCCTTACATAGAACTCACTGATCGAGAAACCCATAGAAAATAGTGTAATCCCTTGCCCAGATTCTTCGGTATAATTTTATTACAATACATTGAGATATTGTATACGTATGTATTACGTAAAATTTAACTACTAGTGACATTATATTCTCCGAGATATTTACAATACAATCAATTCCAATCATTATTCAGCTTTCTTATTTTTGTAAAACTACGTAGAATTATAATTGATATATGTACATTAGAATTTTTGTCGAGTTTTTGTGCCAAGATTGGTTCCATTATTTTGGCTCAATTTAAAATTAAATGGACGAACTATCATGATAGATCAATGGTGGCCGAATTTGAAGCTCGGTGTTGGAAATAATTCAATAATTTTTGTTTAAAAGCTTGTTCTCTGTACAGAGGGTCCATTATCATCACCATCATCATCACCATTATCCAACCATCACTACAACTGTCATCATCAATACCACAACCACCATCATCATCACCATCATCAGCAATCACCATCACTACTACCATCATCACCACCACCATCATCATCACCATCATCACTACCACCATCATCATCACCATATCATTACCATCATCATCACCATCATCATTGACCAACTTGTCCACGAAAGGCTTGTGCAAGGAGACGTTTGTCATATTTTGGCGTATATTACCACAGGCTTGAACATCCTCTGCACAAGGTTCTGAATTTGGTATAACCATTTCCTTACTAACCTTCGAATAATTTGTCCTATAATCATACCTCTCAGTAATTATCACCAAAAGCCTCATTCGCTCTGGTTAAATGTCTAATTGCGAGGTCCTCGGGCAGGCAAAAATCTAACGGAGTCAGACTTTCTAATATATCAAGAACATCGTCGAATCCTAGAAAGATAAAAGACATTGCACGTTATTAATTTCATGTACAAAACACAACATAGCAATAAAAGACTGGTCTGGACCTCAAGGGAGAAAAGTTTAGACGCCTTTTTTCGAGTGCAATAGCTCCTTTCGTAGTAGTCTTGAAAATTATATACCTGTTTTTACGACACACGACCATGATTGATAAAATTCATCGACTAAACTACCACATTTAACTATTTGCCGACACCACAACGACAATTTCTTTTGACTGAAACAACAAATTATCACAGAAAGTTACATAATTGCCAAGATGCTATTGTTCTATTATAGTGGTGATAAGTATAACTCTATATCATACTATATATGTCTGTAGGTTTAATAATGAGGTTTGTGTTATTCATTGAAGGCTGTGGTGGATAGCACAAACAATGGAATTTTCGCGCGCTTTTTAGCAAGCAATGGAACGCGCCGGGGCTTGGTAACCACAGCGTGCAATAATACTTTATTTGAGCAATCACAAACGAGAATAGACTTTGAATATATAATAACAAGAATTAATGATTTCATCATAACTTACTTAAGGCCAGCAGAAACCAGAGCTCTAAACTGAAAAGACAAACAAAGTTTATATCATCAAGCATTCAAGCTGATCTAATGCTCTAAAAATACATTTTGCTCAATGGCAAAAATTGCCAATAGTGTAACAAAGCCGTAAGTCTGAGAAAAATTGATGATGGGATCATGGATAAGCAATAAAAATAAATGGATTGGAAACTTCTGACGTCATTGACTGCATCCTTGTTGAAAAACGTGACGTCACGCGCATTGCGAATGTTACCAAAGTTCTCGGCATATTTGTTGTTTTGCTATATTTTCCACTTTAAAAGGGTGATCTTGAAGCGTAAACTGGTCTAATTGTTTTAAAAACATGCCTAAGCCACGACAAAGTATTCAAGGTAAATGTTTTTCGTCTTTGTTTTGTATTTTTTTACATTTGTAGCTACGAAATTGGCGTCACAATTTTTAACGAAATTTGCGATGTATTTTTCACTGTTTAGTGCTTGAAATATTTGCTAAAATTGACTGGGAATACTTAGAGTTTTCATCGTAGAATGGCGTGGTTACATTTATTTGTTCTTTGACTAAAATGTTTAGCTGTATTATTGCTAAACATGCCGTTTTTGAGAATTTGATTTTCAACTAGGTTGAGGCATCCAACCACGCCATCAATCCCAGTAAAAACATTAGGTTACGTCAGCTAGATTCCTATCCATTTATTTTATTATCCATGATTATATCATTGGAATCGTATATGTTGTAAAATCATAACAAATATTTAATTTTAAACAGTATAATAGCCTGTGTTTTTTACCTAGCCCACATCTGTGTTAATTGTGCTATTTTGTACCTTTAAAATTAACTATATCCTTATTCTTTAGTTTCAAGGAAATTTCAAGGAAATTATGTATACAATCTAAGGAATTTAGAGAAATTTTGATGTCAAAAATGGGAAATTTTTATTTTGAAAATGGAAGCACTGATATATATATATATATATATATATATATATATATATATATATATATATATATATATATATATATATATATATATATATATATATATATATATATATATATATATATATATATATATATATATATATATTAATATCATGATTGCGGTATTCCCTTTGTTCTTGCAGGGCAATTAAAAACTAATACACCTCATTATATTCATATTTTCTAATCCTACCCGCTTTTACGTCATGTCAGGTAGAATTAGTTCTAATCCTACCCGAAACGACGTCAAAGCGGGTACGATTAGAAAAAATGAATATATCTGAAATCGCCAAAACTAAACAAAGACATGGAAAACAATTATACCATTTAATTTATACCATTATTTATTGTTAATTGGTTTTTAATGGCCCTGCGAGAGCAACGGGAATACCCGCAATCATGATATTACAAGGTAATAGCATAGAAAGAGGCGAATTAGCAATTGAAAACGTCCCGCCCGATGAGGGTCGTTTAGTAAAATTCCCTTGGGCGCCGCTCGATTCGGGTCATTTAGTAAAATTCCATTTACTAAATGACCCTCATCAAGCGGCGCCCAAGGGAATTTTACTAAACGACCCTCATCGGGCGGGACGTTTTAATAGCTAATTCGCCTCTTTCTATGCTATTACTTCGTGTATATCCACACCGGGAAAGCTTGAAAAATATGCCTGGCCACGGTGGGATTCGAACCTACGACCTTTGGAATACTAGCCCAATGCTCTGCCAACTGAGCTACGCGGTCAGGTCGGTTCGAGCATGCGATATTTCGGAACGGAGTCTAGTTCCTTCGATATCAGTGTAATCTAATAATCATGATATTTGCTGTGTTGGTGTATTGTAGAACCACAGTTAATAAAATAGGATAATAATCCTATTTTATTAACTGTGGTAGAACCTATACCTACAATCAATCTATTGGGCAATCTATAAGCTATAGTTTCTTTAAATTTAATAAAAGGGGCGGCGAAAGGGCGAAGGTGTAATTTAGCGATATTCACTAGAAATGATAAATAGTTAATATGGTAATACCTGTTTAGATGTCACGGCCGACGCACCAGATACGTCAATACCAAAAGATTCGGATAATTTCCGCGGAACAGCTGAGTTATACTCGCTTCCATGCTAAAACCAACAATTGAATAAAGACCAGGGCTGCAAATTACTATCGGACAATATCCGACTAAATTTGGCAAATGTCCGAGCAAAAGTAATTTTGATCGGACATTGGTCTGATCACAAAAAAAATTGTCACATACATTTTTTTGTTGTGACAAAATCCGATTGCAAATTCACTCAATTTGCATTTTGCAATAAAATTTACGAGGCATTTTACTTAACGTTGCGCCGGAATGGCGATACATACTTGTCTCGTGACTTATATCGACCAAATTTAGTGATATTGGTTTTTGTCCGACCATTCAAGTTATGTCCGACCAAAATTAAAAGTGATCGGACAAATGTCCTGTCAAGTCAAATATTTATTTGCAGCCCTGAAGTCAGTTCGGGTTACATACGTAAAAGTCTCACAACTTGTCAACAAGATGTGTTCGCAACAGGCTTGTATCAAGCTTGTCAACAAGTTGTAACAATGCTGTTATTTTATCAAGTTGCTACAAGGTTATCACTCGCAACTTGTTGACAAATTGTTGAATTGCAGGACGATAACAAGTTGTTGGAACAACTTGTAACAAGTCTGTTGAGTTCAACAACCTTGTAGCAAGTTGTCAACAAGCCGTTGACAACTTGTCAACAAGCTGGGAACAAGCAGCGCGAACACATCCTGTTGACAAGTTGTTGGAACAGCATTGCTACAAGTCTGCTGCAGGTTTGTTACAACTTGTGCGTTCTTGGAAAAATTCTTTAGAACTGATAGAGCTACCCACTACAAATTTGCACCTCGTGTTACCTTTAAATGATAAAATGCCATGAAAATATCCCACGCATGTAGGTTTTGGTTACGAGGTGAAGTTCCCGCAGGCATGATGCAGTTCACGAGACTTCGCGCGGACATGAGTGAGTATTCTGGATTCTACCAAAAAAAAACGAAACAAAGTTAGGCGAGGGATTTCTAAGGTGCTGTTCATATGCAGAGCCGAATGAGTTCATTTCACAAGGAAAAATTTAAAATTTCCATCAATGGGTTTTTGAATGATTTTTAAAGATTCACCATGTATACTATCAATGGTTATAGATTTTCCAATTTCCATATGGTAAATTGGCAAAAACCATGATATGTAATATTTACCATTGATGGTATTTTCCTGTTCGAAGGAAAACAACTAAAGTACCATCAATGGTAAATATTAAACATGGTTTTTACTAATTTACCATACGTGAAATCTATAATAACCAATAATGATAAGACTTCAGCTTTTACATTCAAAAATCCATTAATGGAAAGTTCATTTTTTCCCCTGTGAATTTGCCTTCCATCACCATGGCAGGACTCAATTCCTTGGAATGGGCAGTTTTGTGATTGTAATGTCGTCTTATAGTTTCATTTGAAAAGGGTGCTTCCAGTTTTACCAAACACCACAGATTTTCTCCGGGTATTCAGGTTTCCTCCTTTAGTTAAGTCTACAACTGGTAAAGCTATCCATCATGAATGAAGTTAGTTTAGTTTACAAATGCATACAAGTGAGACTTACTCGCTCCAAGCCATGTTCAAACAAATCTCTAAGACAATTTGAAAATTCTCTTCTAATAGTGCGTATCAGTTCTGCTTCGGTTTTCGTAAATTCACCTGACTAAAAATAATGAGATAGATCAATAAAGTTAGTTCATTTAGGTTTCTTCATGCACGGTAACACTGGATCAATAAGAGATGATCCTTGCTGGACCTCTAGGAAGAACAGTTTAGAACTGATAGAGCTATCCAGTATAAATAAAGTTAGTTTAGTTTAGGTTTCCTCCTGTAGTAACACTGGATCAATAGGAGATGATCCTTACTGGACCTCTATGAAGAACAGTTTAGAACTGATAGAGCTTTCCAGTATAAATGAAGTTAGTTTAGTTTAGGTTTCCTCCTGTAGTAACACTGGATCAATAGGAGATGATCCTTACTGGACCTCTAGGAAGAACAGTTTAGAACTGATAGAGCTATCCAGTATAAATAAAGTTAGTTTAGTTTAGGTTTCCTCCTGTAGTAACACTGGATCAATAAGAGATGATCCTTACTGGACCTCCAGGAAGAACAGTTTAGAACTGA